GGGGGGGGGGTTGCGGGAGGTGTATTGTTTGAACAAAAAACACTTATTCTAAGGCGCGTTATGCTTTCAGCCACATTGTTTTATTTCGAGTGACTCCGACGTCCACCGTTCGCAATTCAACTTTAACTCGGCCGCACAGTTCCGTTGTTTTTGACAAACTCAAAGACTTTGTCCTGTTTTCTGTTGTAATGTGTTGGTCTACGCAACACCAGTCGCTTCACAATTCTTCCATGCTGTAAGACATTCGGTTTCGCTCTCGCACTTGCTTCAAGCATCAGAAATGCACACTTCCGTACAAATGGACGTTCGTACAGGATCTTGAACAAACAACAGTTATGTACAGTATAGAGTACCTTTTTACACCAAGGGATCTCTGTGGTGGCCTTTCCGATATCTCTTCCTTGAATAATGACGGAACAATCAGAATGGATTAAAACAGCAATTAAACCTCAAAACTCGATTGTTAGTCGTCAATAAAGCTTGTGTAACTTTGGCTAGTTCCATAAGTGATCCTGTGGCCTCACCGGAGTCAACGTTCGCACAAAACATTTTCGTATGCCCAAAACACCAGTACCGATTGTCTATGCCGCAGAATACAGGTTACTCGTAAGCAGTGACATTCTGACGTTACGCCATAATTTGACCTAGAAGCAGTCTAAACGTCAACTGTGTCCAATATGAAGGTAATATGTTGGAAGCGAGCTGTTCACGCTGTGTGGTCGCCTGATCTTTCGATCGATGTGGCTTCTTCCGCATGAATATATCCATTGTGAGCTTGTCCTTTGGTTCTTTTCTAATAACGGGACGGTTGATCAAAAGTACCTTTATGCCTGCTGCATAAAGTGTTCTGAAAACCACGTTTCGTGGTGTTCGCGTAAACACTTCAGTAAACATGTTGTCTTTGAAAAGATGATGAATGCAGAGCATCTTAGGTTTTGCCTGTTGTACAATTTGCTTTGGAAGCGTCGATCTGAAGTGCCTCCCCAAAATTCCTTCTGGACAACCATTTTATCGAAACACGCTTCCTAGAACGATCAACTTCCTCAATTTGTTGGCACACTTTCACTGGTTTATCCTGCAATTTGTGAACGCCATTCCGTTTGAGTGTTAGGAGGAAAATGAACCATTCGTGTCGGTTTGCGGCACACGGCGTGGTACATGGCGCTGAGTGTTCATTCTTGTCGTTGACCTGACCCAGTATGTGCCTGATATAAGAGTTTTAAGTGTGCTAGCGCTTTAGCGCCCCTTGGAGAACACTTAGAATCGTTTGTCCTTTCTTCAACTGCTGGTTTTTGCACGTTTGTTTCAATACTATCATTCCTCCTAACTGGAAACTATTCATGACCCGCATGGGACATTTCTTTCGTTTTACATAATGCTCTCCTGTACATCCTGCCATATCTATTGCTGGCATTTATTTTTCGTGGTACATGGCGCTGAGTGTTCATTCTTGTCGTTGACCTGACCCAGTATGTGCCTGATATAAGAGTTTTAAGTGTGCTAGCGCTTTAGCGCCCCTTGGAGAACACTTAGAATCGTTTGTCCTTTCTTCAACTGCTGGTTTTTGCACGTTTGTTTCAATACTATCATTCCTCCTAACGGGAAACTATTCATGACCCGCATGGGACGTTTCTTTCATGTTACACAATGCTCTCCTGTACATCCTTCCATATCATTTATTTTTTTGTTTGTGATCATGCTGTTCAAAATGAATGATAGCCAGTGATAATCATTTACTTGTGCGCACATGTTCATTCATATCATACGCTGTCAATAAAATGGAATACCGCTAACCAGGGACTGCTAAAATACTGCCATGTGTGTTGTGATTGGTGTGAATATCATGTGTCCTGCGGCTAGAGCGCGTGTGCGCGCTTCATATCTGGCCCTGGGACTATGTTGTCTTGTCACGTGCGATCTCTCCTGCTTGTGCTGTCCTTGTGTGGATCGGACAACCCTACTCTGTCGAACATGCTAACACATAAGGACGTCATACGAATATCAACTAATTCAGCGCAGCACCTTTGTGCATATACGCTGAGATTTGGCCAAAACTATATGCACCTTATCAGAGTCCTCGGATTGAACCGGCCTGTAAACCAGTTTTCCCTGCAATGCGTTGCCTATTCGGAAAGTGTGCGAAGAATACTTTCAGATGTTTGCTGTCGGTACAGTGTCACTGTGTCAACTAGTCCAACCCTCTGTCTGGCTGCTGTATCTGGGTTGGGTGACTAAAGAGTACGTTCTATGAAATCTCTTGGGTACCCGATCTATCTTTGTTCAAAGTTGCTAATCTCACTCTCGGACAAAGCTCAGTGAGCCATTGTGTGAATTATCGCTCGCTTTATATTCGCCTCATACACTTTTTCGATTCGAAACTCACTTTGCACAGAACCCATGAAGATCAAATGTTGCATATGATATTTTTGACCATGATGAGATATCCACGTCTAAAACTGGACGTAGTGTGCAGTGTCTTGTTGCACCTTAGCGAACCAATTCTTTCCGGGGGCCGTCCTAGTAGCGCACTTGAACATCTGGAGTGTCTAGGTTGAACTGTTTCTCATCTGGTACTCATTTTTATATACTCGTACGCCGGTGCTTTCATAGAGTTTCGACACTGGCAAGCGACACCCTGTTAATTGATTCCTTTGAGCTGACAATCGTCCCACTTGAGAGCGCATCTTACTTGCATCTATCATTCATGATGGGTAACTTGACCTTGACAGTTGAAACTCACTGTTCAACACACATCTGCCCAACGCACCCCTCACGGAAACATATCGCATCCAGAATATCGTCTTACCACGCATTTATCGAAGTGGCATTTCGGTTGGACGCCATACATTTGCCCTCCACAGTAATTGTCAGGGTTTGACCATACTCAGCTCAAGTTCGAGTGGCCTAAATCCAGAGTGGATGGCGATCTATACGAATAACAGGTGACTGCCATAACATTGGGTGTACGAAGTACGCATGTTTCTAGCTTACAGTATGAGTTGTGGGATTCCGGCATTTTGAACAACCTTGTTAAATATTACAATGCGTAAATAGGGTCCAGAGTTGCCTGTGGCAACACTACAAAGGGCAGATCAAGTGATTGAATGCAATCGTCCACCGGACCTGGGGCTTACTGAGCATGTTCTAAGCTGCAGTTGCGCGACGGATTAGCTTATAATGCTTGTGAGTTCTCATCAGACCGGTGAATAAACTCTGTCAGGTATACTTGTGATCTGTCTGACTCACATGCTTAATGATCAATGAAGACGTCAATAGTCACTGGCTTCGAAAAGTGCTCATCGATTTATTGAACGGCCTGATGTAACCATGACTTTCCTGCAGACACCAATTGGGTTATTTATGCCACAATCATAGTTGGATCCAATGATTGTGTTGTAGTGGATGACAAGATTTTTCAAAGTTCCGTCCAGAGGTAGACCGCAGTTACCTTTGTATAGATCCTTCCATGAACCATCGAGCATAGCAGACGCTGCATCATTCCGTATTTTGTGGTATAAGACCTGAATGGCAGCGTTGTTTGACTCGGCGGATCTGCTTTCGGTTGGTCGGCACCTGATGGGCTAGCTGACGATGGCGTCGGGATACAGTTTTTCAGGTATGTGGAAATGTCTTGGAGGCGTGGAGATCCAGAGGCGACAGGAATTGCTCCGGTGTCATGATGCCAGACTGCAACCCTCGGGCAAACGTTAGGTCAGCACTAGAAAGCAAACTCTCAGCATGGGTTTCCAAGAGTGACATGATGCAACCTACGGTTTGTTTAAACCGGTTTAAACCAGACGCTATAGTCATCAGCTCTGATGAGTAGGCCGCTGTTTGACCGATGGTTTGGTCAGGGACACCAGATGATCATTCGTTCTGTTGTGCTTTCCAGTTAAGCACCCGTAACCTGGTTTTGATGCTGATAGCCGATGGGCTGGGGAAATACTGCACCAATATATAAATTGTTATCCGGGCACAATTGTGATTGTGACTCTTGCGGAAACCAGTGGACACCGGAATTCTTCACTCGGCCAAGCTTAGCCGCATTATACTGTGTGGGAGTGCGTACCGGCGGTGTTAACTCAGGCCAACTTTAGTCGGAAAAGGGCGGATACACTCAGAGCAGGCCTGTTGGGTGACCACGTTCGTATCAACACTTTCATAGACTTGAACTTGACGGTGGGCAATGAAGTCGACTTTCGATTTGCTGCACTTGCCCCTCGAGTCTCCTCTGTGTACTGGTTTGGACTGGTACGGCGCCAGATGATTCGTATCGTACATTGTCGGGAGTCTGGGCTACCCAGTCGACACCACGAGGAGGTGGTTCATCTCGCTGTATTATTGTTGTTTTTCGATTCCTGTCGGATTTTACTTTGTCGTAGTGTTTGAGCACTATTACGGGAGTCATTTCAAGACGAAGTGGTTAACCCTTTTTCAGAGGAGTTATCACCACTGCACAGTGAAAGTTAAGTCGTAAAAGTATACCTCTCAATTACGGCGAATTGGCATTTCTTTACCCGTTCGCCTATTGCCTCTTCTATACGTGAATACCGTATCCACTGTATGCGAAGTATAAACGTGTTCTGATTTTGATTACGATTCGGCTTCTAAATTCCCACTCTGTTTCCCCTGATACCTCCGCTCTATGCAGCCAAACAGCAAACAAATCAGATTTGATTCGTTGGCGGAACGGATCCCAGGAGGCGGAGGCCTTCCACGTTTGTAATGCTAACTGCCACTGTGACGCAACCAACTGGGCTCCTGTGTGTCATCCAGCCAGCGGGGTTACTTTCATTTCCGCCTGCTTTACTGCTTGCACAAAGAGTTCGGTGCCGTCAGGTTCGACCAATCGTGTGAGTTTTAGTTTTTGGAATTCCGGTCTCCTGGTTCATAACCTCTTTTCCTTCAGCGTACTCCCAAGAGATATCTCCGAAGAGTTGAACAGTAACAACAATCTGGCGTGTGATCTCCCGAAGATGGTATCCGATGAAGGCTAACTGCCCCCTTCCTCATAGTGGTCTCAGTTGAGGAGAGTTTCAGGAAACTAGGAGTTCCTTCCTAGGTACAAGTTGAGCATATGGCGGCTTCGTGCATCGTGGCGCTATCAAAAGTAATTTGTTGAAGTAGAGGTAGACCAGCTACGTTGTGCAGACCTCAGTTTCTGAGAATCGATACTTTGGTAAGGAACAGAACCGTTCAGGTGAAGTTCATCTCAAATACCTGTGGATAAGATATATGTGGATTGGTAAGTGAATCATAGCTGATCTCTGCGAAGCCCCAGAGAAATAGAGAGAAATGGATAGATGAATGGAAACAAACGAGCAGTTTGTCAATAGACCAGCCCTAGGTTCATGGCACGGAAGATGGTCTGATAAAATAGGTTTTCTAAAGTGAATAGGCACAACCTAGTTGGAACGAATGATATGTAAGCATGACCTTGAAGTTCGTAAATTCATCGTGGCCAACGTTGATTGATTTACGAAACTTGCACCTGTGATTGGCCGGGGGCTGCGATTGATCATCGCTCGAGGAGTATGGACGAATTGTGGTTAGCCACTGTCGACGTAGGCTGATGGCTACAGAGAGGAATTACTTGCAAGTTACTTGTAAGGAATGATCTCTAACGAGTTCTTTCACGCGTTAACAAATATAAACTTTCATCAGCGACTGTCGTTTCGCGATGCATCTTCATCCTCACCTCTCGTCGTCACGGTTAGCAAGGTAGTTGTAATGTTGCCTCATGTTTCAATTGACACAGCATTCGATATATCGGAGTATATATTCTACACTGGTCACACTATTCAAAGTTTCTTAAATCTTCAACATCCCATGGCCAGATTTGCCTGTCTTGGGGCTCACCACATAGATGCGGTCTCGTAGTTTCCGTCAATCTTCTGTTTAATTTGTGTGCTTGTGCAAAGTTACAAACTAAATTGGTGTTCCCATGAGAACATCCTAAATAGGTGCTTCAGTTAGGTCTCACTTTGGCACCAACATGATTTTCAGTATAATTTCCCACTTGCATACAATCTGGTGTTCAAGCGGACACAAACTCAGGGGCTAAACTTACATTATGAACTCTGAGAGGGGTAAAACTAGTCGTAGGTTGTCAAAGAGTTCTCAACAACCTTATAGGTAGTGTGTGTTACGTCCAGTTGTAAGGTTCTCAATTTCCTCGATAAATCGTGCAGATTGCAAGGTAGGGGAGGTTTCCCAAAACTGTTTGCATAAGTCACATTTGTACTGACAGGGTTCACCAATGACCTAGATATCCTGCGTCCGTGATACTTCAGTGAACCGAAGTTATCTTGGAAAGAGACTGGGCGAATTTGGTTCTGTGAATATGATGTACTAACTTCATCAAAAGTTTCAGCAAGGTCAGTAGTGGTCAAATGATTACCGAAATGAAGCAACCGATTTCGCCATGATTTGCTGGTGGTAAATGTGTGTGAGTTGTGACTTTACGAAGACCGGATTTGCCTCAGTTCTACAGCAAATTATTGTATTAGTTGGCCCCCAAAGTTTCCATCAAACAACGTTGACCTGTTGCAGTTATGATTTGTCTGTTCCATCTGAATGCGTTACCACACATCAAGGGACCGTCCGAAGGTAATCGTCGGTTTTGCCGATGTGAGCTACTTAGTGGGTCATGGAAGTCGGCCGTTTGAGGTCTTCCCCAAACTCCAAGCTTGGCCGAGATGCGTGCTTATAGGCTGTGGACCACGCGCTCTGGTGTTAAATGCTTCCTCAAGTGAATATTTCATGGAATTCACTGTAAAACTGATCATACATGCTATTTCGTCCTGGTACCACCTTGCAGTGAGAAGTTCTTATTGATTTAAACGCTTCCCATCCGTTTCTATTTTAAAATTAGGCGAAAAAAACGGTCATTTTAAATGTTTTGTTCTGAAAACGTAACTTCTCATCGTCAGAGACGAGTGGTCTCCTGAGTAATTCGCACAACCGATCCTCAGATATTTAATGAAACAGCCATCTGTACTCGAAAGAATGTGACTAACTTTTATTTCACTTTTGATTTCTCCTCCTCTGGTTGCTTCACATCCGGCGTCGAGACTCAGTAACCCGTGGCTGTTATTTCTTGTCTTCACAGCATGTCTATCTCAATTGCAACTGCACCCAGACGCTACACCGGTATTACGAACCTTTGATCACCGCTCCCGACGACCTGCACATTCTCCCGGGTCAATGCGCTCATGAGTGCAATCGCATTGTCTTCTTCATAGTCATTCTGACCAGTTGTTTATTTCTCACCGGCGTCATTCAGAACCCACTCCTAATGGTGACGATGCGCTCGGTCGGACACGGCGAACGCGCGTTTGCGTTAGGTGTGCAGTTTGTCATTATACGCCTGCTGGCCAGTATGCCTTCCCCAATTGTGTTTGGACGTGTGATCGACGGTGCCTGTCGATTCTGGCGCTATGGATGTGGTCGTCGAGGCGACTGCGCGTTTGTAGATTTGCGCAAGCTCAATTTGTACATGACGGGTGAGTGCGTATGTGCCACCATTTTCCAATGCTATGTCCTGTTAGTAGGAAACTCAGTGAACCGTGTGACTTTGCTTTGGAACGAGGGTACTCTGGTTGTACGGCAGTTACTCATCATCCACGAAGCCTGTCGATTCACGTATGGTTGCATCATTTACGAGCACAGAGACCCAGAATGCACTTTACTACCGTTCTGTCACCTTTCCCATTCCTCAGTATTATTCCCTAACTGCATTTTCCGTTGCCCATTGTCCGGTTCTTTCGAGGCAACGTGAAGGTAGCTGTATGAAGGTGACAGTATTTGACTTATTCATTGTTCTACTGCACTCATCTAGCAGCTCCGTTTGTGGCCGTGGTCAAGGGATGCGACCATGCGTTGGTAGTCTTTCGGCTCCTCATTGGGCCAGCACAAGTCGAACGAATGGAGTTGGCAACGTGGTCAAGGGATGCGACCATGCGTTGGTGGTCTTCCGGCTCTTCATTGGGCCTCTTTCAGAAGCTATTTCGTGTGAGCAACGTTCTGGTCAAGGAATAAATAGGTTGAGCGCACATATGTATGTAGCTGACAAATGACATGAAGTAGGAAAGAACTTCTGTCTTGTAGTTTTGGAACAGCTAAACAATCTACCGTTTTTAATGAGTACAAGCACATTCATCAGCTGCTGACTTCACATCTATGCTGTTCGGATGGTTCAGAGCGAGTGCTCGTACTCATGACCTTGATTACTTTTTCCATTGTTTTTTTGTGTTGCTTGAAAATTCTACTCCATCGGTGTGAAAAGAATTAGCCACAATCTATGCGAACGAGTTGTATCAGACGAAAACCTTATTAGTTTGGTGCAGAATGAAGATAGTGACAAACCACTGTACCCTCCTGGTTTTGTTAGCAACAAGGGCAATATCTTATTTTCTCGGTGTTGTTCCCTTAGCTCTGGCTAACAGCTAGAAATAGTCTATTTCTGACTTAGCGTGGTACCTCACAGTAGTCACAACGTATGCATACGTGACCCTTTGATTGATTCGTCGTGCGTCACCAAGGCCCACCACCATGGTCTTTTTGACGAGGGACAACTAGTTTTGCGGAATATCGATTGGTAAAATCACGCTGTTATAGGACGCGGGTTAAACAAATGAACTTCGTGCAGCCACAATCCGACGGTCACTTGTGTCTTGGTTTGTCAGGGATGGAGAGAACTCATAACCTCAGAAAAACAACAGTCTTACTGGAGCTACAGCGATTCAACGTTACCAACCATACTCGACTGGAATTTGTGGCTTGTCTTGCCTTGACAAAGCAGGCACTAAAGAATTAGATCCATTTCGATTTAGCGAACGCAGACGATAAGCCAACCGTTTGTACAAGGGTTGCTTTATTTCTTATGTGTTGCTCTCTAGAAGCAAAGTGGCTTTTACTCGGTTACTAGTAGCTTTCTCTAGGATGGAAAATTCTGATTATGAAAAGTTTGGATGAAAAACTGGTGGCAGTTTCGTACACTGCTGTATTCGCAGTATAAGAAGTTGGAAGTCCCCAACCCCGTCTCTAGACGTCCTAGATGTTTATTAAGTGAGATCCTGCACAAAGTTTGTCGGAGGACTCAGTTTCGGGTCTTCTCGTCTAGCTACGAGGTCACAATCACTGCCGTTTTTCCTAAAAACGAAAAGCAAAGTTCAGTACACCAGCTTACCACACACTTGTGTACCTCATCAGCCGACTTCACAGAGCCGCAGGAAAGGGTTGTTATGTAACGGTCCAGTTGATTTGGTCCGTAAAGCCACCGTTAACCTTGCTGCTAGATTCTTACCAACATCGTTAGTCCTTAGTTCATAACCTTGAACGATATTCCCACTTAGAAGCTTACTCGATATATGTAATGCGTAGCTATGACCGTGTTGGCTGGCAATCTCAGTGGCCTATTACTGGACTGAATTGAGATGTCACTGGTATAGGTCAATCAGAAGGCTAGGGGCGGGCGGAAACAAACAAGAGTGTCTTGTAGAACACAAGTGATTTTATGGATGTAAAGAAATACGGGATACAGGTTGAATACGGATCAGATAAGCTAGTCTGTAGGGCCAATAGCACAATGAATTTACTGGCGTCAAAAGGAAGTACGTCACACGTTATTTGTCGTCTTGAGCTCATGTGTCTACCCCTTAGTTTGTTGTCTTCAGGTGGCGCATCGTGCATTGTCCGTGAGCTTGTTTTGAGCTAATACACTGCGTTACAAAGTATCATCTGAAAAACGCCCGTTTTCACGGGCTGACTTATAATGCTATATGCGTCTTACATGTGCTAACGAAGCAAGCGCCAATCACGATCGTCTGTGTATTAGTGCACCAAGTAACCAACAAGGTGACCTGTTGTGCTTATGGTTGAGTAGCTAAGCGTTTCCTCGCCTCTATGTGTGTGACCGTTCGCGTACCATTTAATCAACCTGAGTTGATTGGTTGTCAACAGGGTGAAGACCCCTGTCAGTTAGCATTAGTTAATTCATTTCCGACTTATCCCGTAAACTTTTCCTAACAGGCCTACACACTGTTGTTTACAAAGAGGGAATTTCTATGGGAATCGATTCCTAGAGAGATGTCTGAAAATGATCAGCTGGCTGCGGTAATCTCTCCAATCAAACCGGCACAGTAAAAGGCGACATTTCACCCCTTGCAATGAGTATGGTCTCCTTTCGAACAATCACACGCTGATGTGTGGCCAATAGGAGGCGCTATTTTATACTTTCCTAGAGAGTGACCCCCTACCGGGAGGTTCTCTCCCAAGGAAAGACACTGTACTTGGTATTTTTANCAGCCGACTTCACAGAGCCGCAGGAAAGGATTGCTATGTAGCGGTCCAGTCGATTTAGTCCGTAAAGCCACCATTAAACTTGCTGCTAGATTCTTCACAATATTGTTAATCCTTAGTTTATAACCTTGAGCGATATTTCCAATGAAAAGCTTACTCGATATATGTAATACGTAGCTATGATCGTGTTGGCTGGAAATCTCAGTGGCCTATTACTGGACTGATTTGGGATGTCACTGGTATATGTCGATCACAGGGAAATCAGAAGGCTAAGAGCGGGCAGAAACAAAGGAAAATTTCTTGTAGAACACAAGTGATTTTATGGGTGTAAAGAAATACGGGATACAGGTTGAATATCGATCAGATAAGTTAGTCTGTAGGGCCAACAGCCCAATGAATTTACAGGCATCAAAAGGAAGTACGTCACACGCTATTTATCGTCTTGAGTTCGTGTGTCCACCCCTTAGTCTGTTGTCTTCAGGTGGCGCATCGTGCATTGTCTGTGAGCTTGTGGCCGAGTATTTAGCATGTTTTGAGCTGATACACTGCGTCACAATGTATCTTCTGAAAAACGCCGGTTTTCACGGGCTGACTTATAATTCTGTATGCGTCTTACATGTTGTTGTATCTCTTCACCTG